TTGCAGATTTAATAAAATGATCACAGGTAACAAAAACAGGAATCCAAAAACCAACTTAAAAATTAAACACAAACCAGAACCATGGAGACATCAGGGGAAAACAATCACGAGGAGCCTGGGTAAGATGAAGTAAGACAAGGAACCAGCACTGAGGAACTGCACAAGGAGAGTATTAATGGCTAACTGAACAAAGAGAGGACTAACAAGCAGATTGGGAGCAGGTGTGAAGAGAGCGATCTAAGGAGCTAAGGAAAAAGGAGAACACAAGATGGCAACAGGGCAACAAATAAAAACCTAAGAATTGAAATATAACCAGAAAACACAACAAAATAAAAATTAAACCAATACTAGAAAACATGGAGCAAAGTTAAACTGAATACTCAAAAGAAAATATAACAGAACCAAGACTGTGACAGTACCCCCCACTCAAGGGTGGATTCCAGATGCGCTAAAATGTCCAAAAAACAAAGCAACCCACCAAAGGTGGGCGAGGGCAACAGAAAGTCTCTGAAGGCCGGCTGTGGGGCCGCAGACGAAGCAGAGTCTCTGGAGGCCAGCTGTGGGGCCAGAGACGGATCTGGCCCGCTAAAGGGCTCTGGCTCGGGATGTGCTGGCTGGATTGTTTCTGCAGTGGTCATCACAAGCTGGTGGCGGTGAGGATTAGATTTCAACTTCTTTATCCTGTTTAATTTTTATTTACAGTCAACGTGAATAAAATCAAATACTTCAACAAGGTGGCAAAGAGGTAGCTGAAGAAGTCCCATCAGACCCAGACAGAGAGCTTCAGGCTGGCGCCTGTTCAGGCCGACCTCATGAACCTAAACAACCCATGCAGCCCTCAGGCTTCCAGAGCGCTCCAAAACCCCGAAGCACCGGTGGTGAACGTCCAACAGTTCCTGACGTCCCTCAAGGTACCGATCCCCCGCCGAGTGATGTAATCGGTTAAGGAGAAAGACGCTTGTTCTGTTGAAACTAACTGGGTTTCTGTCCTCAGAGAGCGTTTGGCAGCAAGTCCACCGAGGAATTGATCAAGCTGCTTTATCACATCTGTGGTAGGATGTCGGAGTATGATCTTTTCTCCGATAAGCTAAAACAGCTACTGGGCTTTCTGCAGCAGAACTCTTCTATGGAGGATGACAGGTACGGTGAGCCTATGGACACTTCGTCCAATCAGACCCAGACAGAGAGCTTCAAGCTGCCTCCTGTTCAGGCCAACCTCATTAATCTGAGTGATAATACGTGCAGCCCTCAGGCTTCCAGCGCGGTCCAAAACCCAGCAGAGCCGGGGGTGAACCTCCACGAGTTCCTGACGTCCCTCAAGGTACCGATCCCCCGCCGAGTGATGTAATCGGTTAAGGAGAAAGACGCTTGTTCTGTTGAAACTAACTGGGTTTCTGTCCTCAGAGAGCGTTTGGCAGCAAGTCCACCGAGGAATTGATCAAGCTGCTTTATCACATCTGTGGTAGGATGTCGGAGTATGATCTTTTCTCCGATAAGCTCAAACATCTGCTGGGCTTTCTGCAGCAGAACTCTTCTATGGAGGATGACAGGTACGGTGAGCCTATGGACACTTCGTCCAATCAGACCCAGACAGAGAGCTTCAAGCTGCCTCCTGTTGAGGCCAACCTCATTAATCTGAGTGATAATACGTGCAGCCCTCAGGCTTCCAGCGCGGTCCAAAACCCAGCAGAGCCAGTGGTGAACCTCCACGAGTTCCTGACGTCCCTCAAGGTACTGATCCGCAGCCGAGTAATGTCATCGGGTAAGGAGAAGAATGCTTGTTCTGTTGAAGCTAACCAGGTTTTTGTCCTCAGAGATCGGTTGGCAGCGAGTCCACCACGGAGCTGATCAAGCTGTTTTATATCATCTCCAATAAGATGTCGGGTATGATTTTTTCTCTAATAAGCTAAAACATCTGCTAGACTCTCTGTAGCAGTACTAGATCCAGAGGCAAAGCTGAAAAAGAAAGAGCAGGCTAATCAGGAGGTTGGGTCCATGTAAACTTGCTGCTTCTGCTGCTTTAGGTGTGAACGTAGCACTGTTACTTCAGTACCTCTAGTGGCAAAATAAAGTATCACAAGATCAAACACAAACACCCTGCCTTTGATTTTTTTTTTTTACCTGCCTTTCAGGCAATAAAATAAAAAACAGAAGCTATCTCATAAATTCAGAAATAAAGAAATTATCTGTTAATCCAGAAAAACAGAAGCTATCTCATTAATTCAAAAAGAGAAAGAAATGTCTCTTAATCCAGAAAAACAGAAGCTATTGCATTAATTCAGAAAAAAAAGAAATGATCTGTTAATTCAGAAAAAAACAGAAGTGTTATCTCATTAATTCAGAAAAAAAGAAATTATCTGTTAATCAAGAAAAACATCGTTTTGGTAATTCAGAAGATATTTTATATAAGTTTATCACGGTAATTTAGAAAAAATACTTTTAGATTTTATTCGTGTAAATGTTTTGTTTTTATATTTTGCCACTCTCAATATGGCGGAAGCGCTCAGCACCGGTTTTGCCACTCGAGCACGGTCGGTTCCTTAATTACCCAAAAACCTACGTCACGTCCGGTCTCTTTCGGGCTTTGCAGGGCTCCAGCATGGCGGACACCGGTGTGGTGGAAACGCTTCTCCAGCGGATTGAGAAGGTGGACGGCGGCGTGGACTCCCTGGAAGTGGCGGCCAGCCTCGGGGTGGACCACCAGGTCATCGTCGGAGCCGTAAAAAGTCTTCAAGCGCTCGGTGATGTAAGTATTAGCGGACTGAGAGGCAGCGGAAGTTGGATTGTCACTGTCAACATTTAGCATAACTGATGCAATGTGTTTAAAGGAGGAGGAGTTGGAAGCAACAGCGCAGCTGAATGAAGCAGCAGAGATCAGTTAGAGTGACTGACTGAGGTCTGGTGATACTCTGCTGAGATATTTTTTACTCTTTGGTATCCAGATCATCTCCGCGGAGCTTCGCTCCTCCAAACACTGGGAGCTGACAGAGGAGGGCAGCGAGATAGCCGAGCAGGGCAGCCATGAAGCCCGGGTGTTCAGCTCCATCCCTCTGGAGGGTCTGCTTCAGGCTGAGCTCATGGTGAGTGGAAGACAAAAAGAGACAAACTATGATCTTAGTTAAGAAAATAAAATATAATAATCATAAACTCTCATTATATCAGAGCAAGCATTCATCTATTGTGATAAAGTGTTTTAAAGGGATTTATTCATCAGTGTCAAATAAACCTCCCACCTTGCTCCCAAATTATCTTACGTCTGTTTCCTAGTTCAGGATTATGTTACAGATAGAAATGTGCTGTATCCACAACAAGATTGCATGTTGCATGTTCTCCCTGAGCATGCATTGTTTCTCTCTGGGTACTCCGGCTTCCTGCCACAGTCCAAAACATGACTGTTAGGTTAATTGGTTCTCTAAATCCTCCTTAGGTGTGTGTGTGATTGGTTGTTTGTCATGTTTGTCTCTGTGTTTATGGACTGGCGACCTGTCCAGCTTGTACCCCACTTTATTGATCTCACTTTGGAGAAATTCCCCCTTTGCATTTAACCCATCCCCTTGGGGAGCAATGGGCTGCCATTGTGCGGCACCCGGGGAGTAGTGTGGGGTTAAAGATCTTTTGCTCAGAGACCCAGAGTGGCAGTCTGTGGGAGTGGGGCTTGAACCACAGGATCCCTAGCTCTATGCTCTAACCACTGGGCCCCCACTCCCCTCCAAATTCAGTAACTGCATAATATTAATCCTCAAACCGTCAATGTGATGAAAAATAAAACTGTCTTTAAACTGGTTTTCTCCTACACTGGAGGTCTTATACTGCGGGTCATGAAAGTTTTAGTTGATTAGCCTTTTTTTTTTTATATCCCCCCTGCAATTTTTTCCACTAATTAAAATCTCTTTAAATCCACATTAACATTAATCCAACACACTGTAGTAAACAGATAAATGGAGGCAGAAGATGTCTTTCAGTCATCAATGCACACATTCAGTGACACACAGGAGCTCTTTCAAGCTGGGCACCGTTTCATTCACAACACCTGTCCCATCAACCAGGAATCAGAAATACTTTAATAATCCAAGGGTAAAATTACTTTCATTATATGACTCCATCTGTAATAGAGTGACTATAGGAACAGTTTGATTTAACACATTTTCATACAATATATATAATCAGGGGGGCTCCCCGCTCCATCTCACCATCAGTTTGGGGGTCCTTTAGCCTGGAAAACGTTACAGACCCCTGTCCTACACTATTTACATTTTGATCATTGCTGCACTTTATAAATGGAAATGTAAGCTGCTCATTCACTGTTGAAAAGCTGTATGCATCCATATTTCATTTTCTATACACTCTGTGTTTACAAAAGCGTGAATAAAAGTCACTGTCTTTTATCTTACATTATGAGTGTTCTCTTGTTATCCTTTATAAGGCAACATTAAAATGTATTATGCACACGGTTAAATGATTAAATGTTCAATTATATTATTATAAAGTATTTAATGCTTAAATGTATTATATGCATTTTAAATGGGTTACACGTCTGTTGAATTATTTTAGGGGGCACAAACTTAAATGTTTGGAAAACACTGATCTAAAACATGATTATTAGAAGCATCAATACATTGTGTTAAACAATTACATAATTAAAAATACACTTAAAATAATAAATTAAATGATAAAAACAAAAAAATACAAAAATAAAAAATAAGTAAATATTGAATGAAATGATAAAAATGGTTCAAAATATTTAAAAAAAAAAATACCTTATTTAAAACTGAGTATAATTATTTGTTTTGGACATGTTTGGGAATCCCTGAACTAGACCCAAGGTTACCATAGAGACGTTCGTCCGCTTAAGGCAGAAACTCTCCCTCTGACAGGAAAGTGACGGATTGTCAGGATCACATGTAGGGAAAGTCCAGGACAAGCATTCGTTGTGTTTTTTTACTTTGTCGGTTTTATTCTTTTCTCCTGCTGTCATTCAGCTTCTTTATTTCTGTCTCTCAGAAACTCTCCTTTGGGAAGATCGGCTTCAGTAAGGCCATGTCCAACAAGTGGATCCGCTTGGACAAGTCCCACGAGGGAGGGCCCAGGATATTCCGAACAGTACGCAGATGCTTTCCCCAAGCAGCCATGTTTGGCCCTTATTAACGCCCCAAACTGTGCCGTGTTAAGATGGTTGTGTGGATTCCCTCAGGTGGAGAGCATAAAAGACCAGGTCAGAGAGAGGCTGCTTCTGGTAAAGCAGGGGAACGCCGCCCAGCTGGACGAGAAGGAGAAGAATGAGCTGAAGAAGAGGAAACTCCTCGCTGAAGTGTAGGTTCTCAAGAGTTCTATGTAGCAGTGATTGCTGTGTGCCAGTAGGTGGCAGCAGAGGGTCGGTGTTTCAGTTTTAGAGCCACTCTGTTGGAATCTAAAACTATGTAAAGTGCCTTAGATTTACTAGATTTATCCCCAAGCTTGGAACCCATGAAAACAGCTGATTGTGTAACTCCAGACCCTCATTTTGAAGTTGGCTGATTTTATTTTATTATTATATAAAAAAAAGGACAAAGAGCCAAAGATTATTCAGTTTAGCTTGGATTGAGGCGTCTGGATTTTGGTGTTGGACGGTAGAAATATGCCGTGGATTTATTCCAGTTTGTTTTCCCTCCAAATCCTCTTACCCAAGAAGCCGTGTGATGCTGACCAGTCAGAGCAGATCTGAGCGCCGCTGCTATCCTTTCAGAGAACGTTCCCCATCGGAGAACATCAGAATCAGCAGATCGTTCTCAGGCTTCGCTTTAATGTGAAGAAAAGACTATATGGAGAGAATTTTGTTCCGTTATTGTTGCAAGCAAAGAACATTTTCATTATAGAGAAATATGCCACCCAGAAATGAAACCTTGGAAAAACCTTTTGATTAAAAAAAAACAGTAACTTTGCTGTTTTTTCTCATTTTTTTTCAGTTTTGTTTTAGATTTAATACTTTTTTTTTTTTTGCACCTTACATATTTAAAAAAAAAAAAAATTATTTCAGATTTTTTTGCTCAAAATGAGTTTCACCAATAACATTCTTTTCAAACGGATCACATTCTCTTCACATACAAACGCCTGCTGTAGACATGCACGTTGACCAATTGAAATGCAACCTCAGTCGCCCTCAGCAGATGGCCGCTCACACTGAGCCTGGTTCTGCTGGAGGTTTCTTCCTGTTAAAAGAGAGTTTTTCCTCTCCACTGTCGCTACAAGCATTCTTAGTGTGAGGGATTGCATTCGAGTCAATGAGTCATGCAATCAACTGGTTTTCTGTGATAGAAAACAGAGAAACAAAAATGGGCACAGAAAAAAAAAACCCAATATATATAAAAACAAAATCTAAGAAAAGAGCAAACCCTTTTTTAATACAATATTTTTCATTTCTAAATGGCATTTTTATCTAATATTCATTTATAAAATGTGTTCTTTGCTTGCTAAAATAATGGGGCAAAATTCCCTCCATACAGGAACCAGTGTCGACCACTCAATGGACATCACCAGTGCAGCCATAGCACGGATGCTTTTTAGTTGCGTAATCTTTCAAAAATAAATGCAATAAGCTGCCAGTAAAATGAGAAAAACACTTTCTAAGGCTTATTTAAAAAAAATCTACATTATGATTTGAAGAAGTACAATTGTCTTACTGCACTTGCAGATTATTGCACACATTTTTGAGTAGAATTTCCTTAAAAGATTAAATTTAAAACAGAATCTGTTCTTGCCTTTTATATCAACCTTAAAAGAAGATCAAAAATCCTTTTTGGCTGCATATTCTTACATTGTCTCCCACAATGTTTACCTTTGGTCCCTGCTGAACTTTAAGAAAAGGGGAATGTCATGAGGGCTGTACAAAACAAAATTTCTTCACTTTAAATGTCTATTTGATGGTAAGAATTCGTTAGGTGAACATTTTACCAGTGTATAGTGAGGCCTGCCGTATATGGATGTAAAAGTTCAGTTTTTGCACCTACCTGTCTGCGTGGACTCCCTGCAGAAGTCCTGACATTTGTCTGTGCACATATGTGGGGGGGCTTTAGGGGTGGGGCGTGCTTCATGTAATCACTACAACACTCACCATGTAGAAGTAGGACTCATGGCTTATTCCAACATTTTCAAAGCCTCTTTGTTTCATCCAACATTAAAAATTTTGTTTTTTGTGCAATCTTTTTGTCATGATGATCTTTAGGGTCCAAATTGTTAGAAGTCTCTGGATGTTCTATATTTTCTATATTATATAACTATATAATATGTTCTATATTTGTGATCCCTCAACAGTGGGTGTAGTGAGAAAAAGGTTTTGAACTTTCCACTCCAGTTAAATAAACGAAATAGGTTGATTTCACTAAGCTGACACTTTATTTCCTTTGTGAAGAAACAGATCAAGATGGCATGACGTCCAGTCCTGCTCTGGGTAGACCAAGTTTGTCTCACTACCTTAAACTTTGCAGAAAGGCTGTAAAGGGCTCCTCATGATGCTATACAAAAAACAACTACAGACAGTTGTGTGGAGATTTTCCACACTGAAATCTCCACGGTTTAACATTTTTGTATTATATGCGGAAAGTATGCAGTGCAGACGCTACTAAGATGGAATTCGGCCTTTTTGGATGCGTCTAGCATAATCCGACCTCTTGACCAGGGGTGTCAGAATCCAGCCTTTAAAGGAAATGTCCGGCTTCACAAATCAACCAGATAATGCAGTCAAATTGATTCAAAGTTTTCTGTCTAAAGAAAACTTGGATAGAAAAACAATTTAACAGCTTTATGTAGAACGATTACGTACGCTTGTTTTCCAGGATAATGGTAAATGGCATGTACTTATATAGCGCCTTTATTCAAGTGAGGAGACTTGACCAAAGCGCTTTACACTACATTCATTCACCCATTCACTCACACACTGATGGTGGCAAGCTACATTGTAGCCACAGCTGCCCTGGGGCTCACTGACAGAAGCGGGGCTGCCGTACACTGGCTCCACCGGGCCCTCTGACCACCATCAGTAGACAATGCAGGTGAAGTGTCTTGCCCAAGGACACAACGACAGTGAAAGTCAGAGTCGGGGCTTGAACCGTCAACCCTTCGTTTTCAGGGCAAACTCCAACATCCAACGCCACTGTCGTCCCGGATAAGAAGGATTACTCTTGATATGCTGGAATCAAACTACCAGTTTAAGCTGGAAGAGTATTAAAAGATCGTTAAAGGCTTAAGAATAGTCAAATTTATTCATGTTTTAGGCGCCTTTAAAGATGCCGGGCTCTTGTTTAGAAAACAATCCCTGCTTCCTGTTTTAATGGACGCCTGGCGTCATTCTGTTCCTTTGTTGTTTCAGCACTGTGAAGTCTTACTGGATCACCAAGGGGAACTCCTTCAGCACCACCGTAACCAAACAGGAGACGGATCTCACCCCTGAGATGATCACCACGTGAGTCTGAGCGCCGGTAAACCGACCAACGCGGCGTCCTGCCTGGCCTGCTCCGTCAGCCAGTGACGGCGTTCAGGCTCTCAGGCGGAGGACGCAGAGAAACTGGTGTTCAAATATGGGGACGAGTCCAGAGCTGAGGGCTTGGTCCTAAAGGCAGAGCAGCACAAACCGATGCATGATGATTGATGAGGTTCATACACGGCCTAAAGGTTTAGATCAAAATGAATTTATCCATCTAACCAGTTTCCATGTTTAAATCCTAACCGTTGTAGAAAACAATCTCAGTAAAAAGGAAGAAACTGCACAGGAAACCTTAACCTTCTGATATTCAGATGGACGCTGCTGGATTTAACGCTGCCAGTCGTCATGGCTGCAGATGAAAGCATCCTGAGGCGTTCTGTCACCGGAGCAGGGCAGCGTTTGTTTTGATGGGTTTTTTGTTTCGTTGTAGTGGCAGCTGGAAAGAGAAGAAGTTCAAACAGTATAACTTTGAGGCCATGGGCGTGGCCCCGGACTGCGGCCACCTGCACCCCCTGATGAAGGTGCGAACGCAGTTCAGGCAGATCTTCCTGGAGATGGGGTGAGAATCTGACCGCCAGTTGGAGCAGAAATGGAGTTTAGACTCTTTTGTTTTTAAAAGTTCTTATTTTTTTCTGTAGTTTCTGCGAGATGCCGACAAACAACTACGTAGAAAGCTCTTTCTGGAACTTCGACTCTCTGTTCCAGCCTCAGCAGCACCCAGCCAGAGATCAGCACGACACCTTCTTCTTATCCGGTGAGTTTCAGTCCCACTGCGCCTAAAATCTCCCCCCCTTCAATCATCAGTGATCACTAACTCAGAGCTCCCCCCTCTTTCAGACCCGCCGCTCACTCGCGGATTTCCACCGGAGTATCTGGAGAGAGTGAAAAAGGTCCACTCAGAGGGAGGCTACGGCTCACAAGGGTGAGACCCAGTTACTAACCCCCTGCCTGCTGCACTGTTTGCTCTTCTTCAACCCATCTTGGTAAACATGAACCTTCCTTTCAGGTACAATTACGACTGGAAGATAGAGGAGGCTCAGAAGAACATCCTGCGGACCCACACTACAGCCGTCAGCGCCCGCATGCTGTATAAGCTGGCACAGCAGGTGAGCGGCGAGCAGAGCCGATGTAGGGACCAGATCTGCTCGGGGACCTGCCCCTTCTTATGTCGTCAACATACAGCTCCTCTCGGACAAACTGTATTGAACCCGTTTCTTAAGGATTGAATCTCTTTTGGAGTTTCAGAATATTATGATCTATATTTGCTGTTATTTTACATTTCATTGGTGATCTAAAGTAGCCGAAAGTAGAAAACAGTCATCGTCAGTCTTGAAGGAAAGTACTGCATTCTAGATGCTTCTGATGCATAGCCTCTGCAACCATCAAATCTGTCTCTGTGTGCGACCACGCCCCCCGCGCAGAGGTTCTGCAACATTCATCGTGCACCTCAAAAAAATCCTGTCTATGCATCGGCCGGCGCAGACCTCAAGCGGAAGTGCGCAGACAAAAAGCAGCTGTGATTGGTCCTTGGTATGCCTTTCCGGCTCTCTGTATGGTCGTCCTTCTCGATTCGGTGCCAGGGCGCGCCATTTTTAAAAACTGAGGAACAAGTACAATGGAAAACCTACGCGACCTCCTTTGTCTTTTTGCCAACTCCAATAACAGAACCTGTTCCTCTTCGATGTCTAGCAACTCTAGATCCATCTCCGTGACATCTTGCAGACACGCCATTGTCGTTTTGGAAGGTAAACACTCCCACCAGCGCCGCAGAAGTTCTTATGACCATCCGCCGAAGTCCTCGCGAGTTCTCCAATAGGATCCCCCTTGCACTTTGGCGGGAAACTGCTGTGCGTCCCTAGAAATTCCTGACCGACGGTGCAGAAGCATACCAGCAAAACTGGTTTGCGACCAGACCCAAGTGAGATTTGATGTGTGCGATTGGAGAAGTATAATCCGCCCTTAAGACAGACTGAGCTCTGCCATTTAACAAGGAGACACAAAAAGTCTCTGATTATTTTTATTCTTTTATTAAGATCTGAGGGCAGGAGAGGAAAAATGGAACATCCTAAAAAATGACTTTTGTACAGATTTTAGACGAAGAAAATAACAGTTATTCTACTTGTAGAAAACAAACTGTTTTTGTTGATACAAATTCAAAAGTAGTGTAGCTTAATATGGCTAACTGACCTAGCTAGAAGAGGCTAACCTGTTAGCTACTGAGCACAGCTGGCTGCAGCGCTACCCAGCTCTCTCCCTTTATATCATGGTCTAACAGTTACTTTTTTCACAATAAACAGATTTTTTTCAGTTTTGTCATCAATCAGGTAAAACTTCATCAGTCATTAGAGCCGCTAACGGATGATATATGATGTTATTATCATTGTCTGGGCAACCACTGTGTTTTAAGTCATGTGGCAACGTTCAGTCAATCATGTAGCGTAACGTAGCTGGCATGCGCAGGACCCGAGTCGATCTGGTTCCTACGGCGACACCACAGAGCGCTTTGGTCATCAGCACACCTCACATAAGCAATTAAAGGAAAAGGAAAAAGCCAGGAGGATGGATTTTTTTTATGTTCAAGGAAGAGAGAGGGAGCTCTGGTCATTATTACTCCACTGAAACATTTTCTTACTGAACCGTGGCGAAACAGTTTATAAATACCTACATTACCGTATTTTCTTAACTATAAGCCGCTACTTTTTTCCCACACCTTAAACCATGGGGCCTATAAGAAGGTGCTGCTTTCCTGAAACCGCCAGAGGGAGAATTCAAAGTTGGAAATGAAAGGATAAGGGGCCAATTTTCATTTAGCACAAAAGCATGCTAGTAGCGGGCACGACGAAGAACAAATATCCCAAATTCCCATATTTGGACATTTATTTGCAGCGTTAAAGCTGCCAAACCAATGAAGACACTGAGAACAACTCAGAAGCTCTTACTGCTGCGAGCCAACAAGCTAATGGGACCTAGCATTCTTCTTCGTCTCTACTCCAGGGGTTATATGTAGAGCTCCCCCTACAGGATTGGTGGGAGAAACTTATATATGCACATTTCCAGTTTTTTGGTGGGCGGGACTTACAGTGAGGTGCGTTCTCTAGTCTGGAAAATACGGTAACTACAATTGTTAAAACCCGCTGGCAAAAATTAAATCTGCAAACCAGAAACTTTTAGCTACATACAAGCGGAAAATTGTATTGTCTCAAGAGGCGGGATTTTTCTGAAAAATAGCCAATCACAGGCAGGGACTCCCTCAAAGTGAAAAAGATTGACATGAGCCACAGAAACGGGTCCAAAAGCGAGGAGGAGAGAATCTATAGGCTGATAAAAAGCAAGACAGCAGATGGTTTTCCTTAGATAGAAAACATGAAATCAATTTGGCTGTATGATCTGTTTGAATTGTCTCTGTAAAGTGCCTTTAGATGACACGAGTTGTGAATTGGCGCTATTTAAAAAAACTGAATTGAATAGAAGGCGCATGAGCTCATAGTTTGACCTCATGGTGTTGAATCTGCATGTTTGAAATACGTATGGAGAGTTATTAGTGTTATGAATAAGAATAATGTCAGTTATTAAAGTGTCTAAAAACTGATCAAAGGTTTTCAACCTATCATGGGATAGATTACTGCCAACAAACTGCATGATAATGCAGGGCTGTTGTTGTTTTGAGACTTGTGTTTGGAAAAAGAAAAAAAAAAAAACAGGTTCAACTTACATATTTTACTGGTTTTCTTATTTTTACAGAATTAAAGCCAAAATTATAGAGGACCAACTCTGCCGTATTTAAAAATAAATAAATAAATGCTCAATAAATAAATAAGCATACAATTAATTCTCCCCAAAAATACAATAAACTAATAAATGTAGGTAGAAATTGGATATACAGTGAGACATAAATGTATATATTTCTTTTAATTAGCTTCTTTATTTATTTGCCTTTGTAATTAATTATATCAAGGGCTGTGTCTTAGAGGGTTAAGTTCTGCCCATTGGTTGGTTAGCATTTTACTGCATCGGTGGAATCTACAGGAGAGGAGAGTCCGAAGACGGTTGCCCTTTCTCAATTCATAAGAACGCGAGTACGGAATCGTTTCTCACAGAGTATGTTCTTGAGAAGGACTCAGAAATGTTCTCATCTTTAAAAAGGGAAACATCATCAACGCACAAAAAAAGTATAAATTCTTTAAACATTTGGATTCTTCTAAAGGAGACAAATGAAAACTATTGGGCATGAAGGATGAGATTGAGACACTTCAGAGCTGGATTTGGATGGAAGAAGCAGCTTTAGCAGGAGTCTGGATGAAAAGCTGCTTCTAAATGGAAGATCTAATGAGAGACTCTTTAAGGAATGTGTCTGGTTAGGTAATTGTACTGTAGCTAACCAACGATGCTTGGTGGGGAAAAACAAAAGGAAGAACATCCAAACATCTGGCACATCTGTCCCTGCTGTAGCTCAGGTCATCACCTAGATGTAATTCCTTATGATAAAACAATTGGTTTGCTGGTTCCATTGACTCAAATGGAGTCGATGCCGACCAGGCTCTGAGTTACCATCCTGGTTCTGATATTACCCACAATGCTCCTCTCACCCTACAGGAGAAATTCACGCCTGTGAAGTATTTCTCCATCGACCGGGTGTTTAGGAACGAGACCCTGGATGCCACCCATCTGGCTGAGTTCAACCAGATAGAGGGAGTGGTGGCCGACTACGGCCTGACGCTGGGGGACCTCATGGGGGTTCTCCACCAGTTCTTCACCAAGCTAGGTACAGATTTACAAACGGCACAGAAGCGCTTCAATCTTCTCATATTTTTGGAAATATAAACATTCCCAGCGCTCCGTCTCTTTCAGGAATTACCAAGCTACGCTTCAAACCAGCCTACAACCCGTACACAGAGCCCAGCATGGAGGTGTTCAGCTACCATGAAGGTAAACGGTCCGATCACCTGCAGACCTGCTGCTTTGCATCCATGTTCACATCACTATCTCATCTGTAACCCTGGACAACTAAATTCTGTGTTTGACTAAAACGTATCAATGTTGTTTCCCTCAGGGCTGAAAAAGTGGGTAGAAGTGGGAAACTCGGGGGTCTTCCGACCAGAGATGCTGCTGCCCATGGGGCTCCCTGAGGACGTGTCTGTGATCGCCTGGGGCCTTTCTCTGGAGAGGTGAGCCTCTGTTCAACATCACCGCTGGAAGCAAACCACTATTTGATTCAAAATGTTTCTGAACCCACATGTCGGTTTACTTTCTGATGCCCTATTTCATATAAAAGTGTCTCATAAAAGTTGCAAAAAGAGCAGATCTAGTTTAACAGATCTCTGGTTAAAAAAGAGCATTTTTTTCCATTTCTGCTCAAGCTTAAACAAATTACAGTAATAAAAGGAATGGTTTTAGACAAGAAACAAGGTTTCCATCCCAAAGCAAACACTTCCTGATCTCTTAGGAATAATCATTACACACTGATCTATCAATATTCTTTATTCCACAACAGCAAAGAATGAAAACATTCAGGCCAACCCCCCCTATTCTCATATTATTATTATTATTATTGAAGCAAAAAAAAAAATTTTTTTTGAGAAAAATCCCATTTAGAAAACAATTTATAGAACAGAAAAGGTTTTTTCTTTTGCTAATCAGATTTTCTTCGATTAGCCAAGGGATTTGATTTTTTTTTCTTAGTAAATCGATAAAAAGATAAGATGGAAAAAGGTTCCTTAAAGAAAATTTTATGCAGATTTAAACCAGATTAACCTAAAACTATGGCGATAAGGAGCTCTGAATAGAGCAGGCAAATAATTTTTTATTTTAAAATCAAAATGATACATTTTTCACAATTTTTGTAAAATGTTGTTCTTGTAGCTAACGGCATCTTTTAGAGTCGGATAAATCGATCACGAAATTAGTTTATGCTTTTTTTTCAATTATTTTACTACCAAAAGTTTCTTTGATGATGACAATTTTGTTTGTCTGTTTCAGGATAATTTTTTTTTTTTTTTACAAAAAACGTGCAACAATAATGGAACACAATTCACTTCATACGTGCACAAAATTTCTCGCACCAATTGAAATGAATTCTGGCTAAGAAACAGGCGCTCATAGGTAATCAGAATAAAACAGCCAACCAGACTAGAAATGTTTCCAAACATGGTGATTTGAATGTTCTGCCATCAGTTCAGCGCGATGCAGAATATCTTGATTCTGTAAAATGTTTACATTTATTCTGATTGGATTGTCAATCGGGTCTCAATATCGTTCTTTATGTGCAGAATCCAATGAGAATTCTGCAACGAGCATTTTTAAGGTATCGTAACAGCAGATAAATGCTGCAACATGCTCGTGAATTTAAAGGCGTTGCTTCTGGAAAGTCCTTGAAGGTGCTTGAATTTGATGTTGGAATCCTGGTCTGATTCATGGTCTCTATGGCTTCAGTCTTAGTCTCAACAGAAACTGTGTTTGCAGCAGAGACGTATCTGCAGCGTTCTTTATGCTAACTCATCCGTCTCCTCCGATCCGCAGGCCCACGATGATCAAATACGGCATCAACAACATCCGGGAGCTGGTGGGACACAAGGTGAACCTGCAGATGGTCTACGACAGCCCCATATGTCGCCTGGACTCCTGAGCTTCAGCCCGTCTGTGAAGCTGGTTCGTGTTTGGACTTGTTTAACCCCGACCGTGAAAACGTTCCTCGGCAGCACACAGAATTCCCCGCCCCTCTTCTGAAGGGAGCCGTTTGGAGGAGAAGCTGATGAATGAGAGTCCACACCTCATTTCAAAAGTTGCGGCTAAATAAAGCTTTTTCTAACGACCTATTTTCTGTCATGAATTATGCTTTAATTCCACGTCTTGGACTAATAAATTTTCATGTTTTCATGCCCAATTTTCACTTAAAAGCAACAAATTGAAGTATTTCGATGCATTTTGTTTGGATTGTATTTGATAGATGAACTCAAAGTGTGAAGAAATTCTGTGAGTTACTGATAGAAATAGTTTTCTGCAGCAGTTTTTAACCTGGGATGCAGATTCTCAGGTTTATTCCAGGGCTTTGACTAGGCCAGAGGTCTTCAACCTGTTACTCTTCGGTTTTTCCACAGCGACTGTTATTAAATTCAGCTAAAAATAATATAAAATGTGTGTTTTTAAACATAGACGCAATAAAAACTGCAGATTTTAAGCAATGTTTTATTTTTTTACATTGAACAAAAGGATTTGATCTGCATGAGAATGATCCGAAAGGTACATAATAAAAATAAATGAACTTTATTGATCTCACATTGGAGAAATTTACCCCTGCATTTAACCCATCCCCTTGGGGAGCAGTGGGCTGCCACTGTGGGGCGCCCTGGGAGCAGTGTGGGGTTAAGGGTCTTGCTCAGAGACCCAGAGTAGCAGTCTGTGGGAGTGCGGCTCAAACTTACAACCTCAGGATTTAAAGCTCTATGCCCCAAGTAGGCCGCCACTCCCCAATGACTTAGTTTCAGTAGGGTTGCACTGATTGTAATTTATCTGCCACATCATTAATTTTTAAAAAGCCTGACACCTTCAAATTTCCAATTGTATTAAAAATAAAACACAACTTAATGATTGCAAAAAAGAATGGAAAGGTTAGAGTGTTGACAGTGGCTGATTTTCAGACCTTTGCAGATGTAGAGATCAGAGGATATCAGCTGATCAGTGATCTCCCAAAAATACACTGTGTGTAGAATTATTAGGCAAGTTGTATTTTTGAGGATTTTTATTATTGAGCCACAAATGTCTTCTCAACCAACCCAAAAGACTCCTTAATATCAAAGTTTCATATATTTTTTCTAGATTTGGCCATTTTAGGAGGATGTCTGTGTGTGCAGGTAAATATTACTCTGCAGAATTATTAGGCAATGTAATAAAAAACAAATATATACCCATCTCATTTATTTTCACCAGGTAAACCAATATAACAGCTCAAAATTCAGAAATAAACATTTGCAACATTCAAAAACAAACATAAAGTGACCAATATAGCCACCTTTCTTCACCATGATGCTCTAAAGCCTTCCATCCATAGATTCCATCAGTGTCTTGATCTGTTTGTGATCCACATTGCGTGCAGCAGCCTCCCTACACTGTACAGAGAGGTGGACTGTTTTCCCTCCCTGTAGATCTCACATTTCATGAAGGACCACAGGTTCTCCATGGGTTCAGATCAGGTGAACAAGGCGGCCATGTCATTTTTTCTTCTTTTTGGCTTTTTCTTGGCAGCTCGGTTGTGGTGTATTTTGATGCATGTGACGGAGCATTGTCCTGCATGAATATCATGTTTTTCTTGAATGATGGCGACTTCTACTTGTACCACTGTTTGAAGAAGGTGTCTTCCAGAAACTGGCAGTAGGTCTGGGAGTTGATCTTGACTCTATCATCAACCCAAAAAGATCCCAAAAGCTCATCTTTGATGATACGAGCCCATACCACTACCCCACCTCCACCTTGCTGGCGTCTGAGTCGATAAGGAGCTTGCTGCCCTTTACTGATCCAGCCTGATGCCCATCCATCCATCTGGCCCATCAAGACTCACTCTCATTTCATCAGACCAAAACACCTTGGAGAAATCAGTCTTCAGATATTTCTTGGCCCAATCTTGATGTTTTGTCTTGTGTGTCTTGTTCAAAGGTGGCCTTTTTTCAGCTTTCCTTACCTTGGCCAGGCCCCTGAGTTTTGAACACCTTGTGCTTCTCGGCACTCCAGACATCTTGCAGCTCTGAAATATGGAACAACTGGTGGCTAATGGCCTCCTGGCAGCTTCATGCTTGATCCTTCTCAATTCATGGGGTGTTATTTAGGGCCCCTGTAATTGCCATGAAGTGCCGCTTGATTGTGCGATGATCCCGCTTCAAAAGCTTGGCAATTTCCAAACTGCTGCACCCCTCTGAAAGACATTTGACGATTTTTGACAATTTTTTGACTTTTCAGAGTTTATCAAATCACCTTTCTGACCCATTTTTGCCAAAGGAATGTAAGTTGCCTAATAATTAAGCACGCGTTATATAGGGTGTTGATGTCATTAGGCCACACCCCTTCTCATTACAGAGATGCACACCACCTGATTTACTTAATTGGTAGTTGGCTTTTAAGTCTATACAGCTTGGAGTAGGACAGCATGTATGAAAATGATGATGTGGTTGAAATACTAATTTGCCTAATAATTCTGCACACAGTGTAAAGGAGGCCGATCATTTTTAGTTCATTGTTTTTCTGATCTATTTTTGTGTTATCAGTATTCATTTTTTCAAGTTCAACTCTTTCCTTAGTTACTCCTTTTTATTACTCATTTTTGCACAAACATACATCCTTTAGAAGAAATGTAATTCCCCTTTTTACAAAAAATGTATTTAAGTTTTTATTAAAGAAAGGTGGTCCATTCTAAATAAAGACAATTTATTGTGTGGTTAAGGAGTGGTGTCCACTCCCACAGACTGCCACTCTGGGTTCCTGAGCAAGACCCTTAACCCACACTGCTCCTCGGGTGCCACATAATGGCAGCCCACTGCTTCCAAAGGGGATGGGTTAAATGCAGGGGTTGAATTTTGTTGCTTTGTACTTGTGACAGTGTAATGACAATAAAGTTGAATTCTATTCTAACACGTGCAGCTCTAATTGCATTCTTCTGCACTGAGGTGTTTGTATGGAATAATTACTAAAGCACCGATTGGAGGTTTCTGCTCATTACAGAAAAGGCCTGACATCCCTAATCTGATAGATTCTCAGTTGTAAGTGGATGACAAGACCTTCAATATTTCAATCTATCTAAACATCTTTGAACATTATTCTGTGAAACAATCAAACATTTTAACGTAACTCCTCTCAAATATAAATCAAAGTTTATAGCATTGACAGCAGGTGATTTTCAGAGCTTTACAGCAGGTAGATAAGATCGGTTTCACATCAAAGTGTCGGCATTGCGCCTAAGATTAAGGAAGCGAAGGCTGATCAATCAGTGCACCCCTAACCTACATCATTTTGCAGCTTTATATGTTTTGGAAGAATAACCACTTTTTAAATAAAATTCTGAAAATCAATCACTTTCATTTTCTTAATTCCTCTTGTTGAGGCTATAACCCTTTCTCTGGATGTGAGCTGAGCTGCTGCAGCTCCTCCAGAGTAACCATGGACCTGTTGTTCTTGGCTGGCCTTTTCTGCTTCCAGCAACATCTTGCTAAGCGTTTACCAGGTAGGTCTAGCAGAGCCGTCTGTAATGTTCCGAGCTATAGATCGTTTTTATAACCTAAACTCTCTACAAGCCTTACAGCCCTACACACGGATGGGCTCTATTGACTGAAGGAGTTTATTGCTCTGGATTTCATTTAGGAGTATCAGAGGAAAACAGGACTAAGCACAGAGGCCGTCATGAGGAAAGGACAATATGTTTAAAGAAACTTTATTACAGAAGACATTTTATCGTCTCTTTCTTTCATCTTTTATCCTTTTTCCTGTTCTAACTACATTGCAGTGTCAATATAATCTGTAATACTCCCTGCATAATCATAATAAAGCTATTTATATGTGTAAATCAAGCAGAACACTATAGCGATAGCTTTACTGCTCCACTTGTGAAAAGTAAAATCTGTTGGGCTCTTTTTGGCATCAAGACAATTATTCTTATTGACACATCGCCAGACAGGACACCGGAAGAAAAAAACAGTAGACTATCGTCTACTTGTACCTGGTTTGTTCGTATTAAAGCTTCTAACAGTCTGTCCACTGCCTACCAAAATAAAATTGATTGTATTATAATGAAAAAGAGATTTACAAAATATTTTGTTCCCTTAAAACAGGTGGTTTCTATGATAGGAAGATGTTAAACTCTGCCTGCTCACCACTAGATTGATAAATACTTTTATTCCTAACCAGAAGCTGTTAAATCTGAAAACAACGGCCTGCAGACGCTGACGCACGCTGTGTTTTCCTAATGCAGATTACTGCCCTATTTCTGAGCTCTTTCCTCAGTTGGTCTGTTGTCTGGCAGACGCATTTAATTGGGATTTTCTAAGAATATTGGATTAAATTGGACCCTCCAGCTTCTTGGAAGGGTTGTTAAAGATGGAATCAGGTCAAAAATGTTCCTAGACTTCCCCGGTTTATGCTCTCTTAGAATTTCTGTTTTCATATCGCATTCCTTTATTGCATCTTTTTTTTTTTTTTCTTGATATTTCTGTCTGTCTTCTTCAAAATAACCGTGAGGAAAGAAATGGAGCAGTGTGCCATGATTTACAAACTGAATTCAGCTCATCTCATTCATGCCTCATCAGAGAACCTTCTTTCCGTTACTGGAAAGTAAAGTTCAGAGAAAGTTCAGCCCTCGTTTTACCTCAGTAAGCTTCGGCTGCAGGAGATCATTCAGGCTTATGGAGGAATTCTTATTAAAACCAGTCTGCCTGCAGATGTCCGAACAAAGTGGACTCTGACTATGTGTTTAGGTTGGAACAAACACCACAACTAAACCTGCTAACCTGCTAAATACTGCATAGTGTACCTATGGTGAAGCATGGTGATGGCAGGATCATGCATTGGCCAAGATTTCCCAGAAAAGTGTATGAGGGTGTGGATGCAGAACAGAAATGGAAGAAAGCCTCCTGACAAGGAGATTGTCATTTTAAAATAAGTATTCAACTATAAACTACAGTTAAATAAACGGAGATCGATTGGATTTCTCTCAGCCAGCTCCTTATTTTACTGTGCAAAGTAAAAAGAGAACAAGACAATCATAACAGCTTTCCACTATGTGGAAGTTCTCAGAGTCAAAATCAATTTCAGACACTTTGCTTCAACAGCAACATAT